TACACTCTACACAAAACAATTCAAAATATTTAACAAATGCCTTTCTTTCATTGTGTGTGTATGTGTGTGTGTGTGTAGCAGTATATTTTTTGTGTGTGTATTATACATGTATGTTCATGTGTGTGTAGGGGGTGGGCATGTACATGTGGAGGTCAGAAGCTGACATCAGTTGTTTTCTTTACTATCTATCTATCTATCTATCTATCTATCTATCTATCTATCTATCATCTATCATTTGTTTACACAAGGAACTGGCCTGGAACTGGCCCATTTGGCAAGAATGAATGACTAGCAAGCCCCAGGGATCTCTTTTCCCCACCTTCAGAGCTCTGAAATTTCAAGCATGTGTCAATGCACCTGACATTTTTATGTGGGTTCTGGGTAATTTAACTAAGGTTAGTCTTCATGGTTGCATGAAATCATCCCCCCAGGTTATTTTCATCCTCTTAATGAAGGGGAGGGGAGAAAGACACACATTGAGTTAATCACACATGGGCAAATTAGCTTTGAATTAAAATATTTAAAATGGGTTATTCTGTTTATTAATAAATTAAAAGGCAGCTTGAGCTAAATATAGTATCTTGAGTGTAAATCACATGAAACTGCAAACATATGGCTCAAGAGAAAAAACAGACTTAGAATTTGAATTGATGCCATCTGAATATAGGACAGAGTTGGGACCCTAAGAGATAAGAGGAGAATGAAAAGAATGCAGGATCCTCATCAAGTTGGGAGATCTTTTGAGCTTGACCAGAGATTCAAAATTGAGACAAGCAATGTTGCTTCATGGGAAGTTGGGAGAAATTTCCTGTCTTATATAAGTCAGTGGAAAATTAGATAAAATTAATATAATACAAACAAAAGACTGTCTTTCCATGTGTCCTGTTAGGAGAACTTTAGAGTAAGAGTAAACATGATCATGGGACACCTGTGGCTGTGTACTTGTGTCCCAGGCAGTACTTCTGTTTAATAAGAAACACTGACCATTGGATTGTAACTCTAAACTTTACTTGAGATTATAACTGCAGACTTGCTTGCAAATACTTTTTAATTCCAAAATATAAAGTATGAACTCGAGCAAAAGAACAAAATTTAAAGTTAGAAAGGATGGCTGGGTGTTGGTGGTGCACGCCTTTAATCCCAGCACTCGGGAGGTAGAGGCAGGCAGATCTCTGAGTTCAAGGCCAGCCTGATCTCCAGAGCAAGTGCCAGGATAGGCTCCAAAGCTACACAGAGAAACCCTGTCTCGAAAAACAACAACAACAACAAAGTTAGAAGGGATGAATAATTTCAGGTACGATATCTGTATTTACAGTCTCTTGCTAATGTTTGTAGTAATTAGGAGACCGGCTTCTCACGATAGCATATAGTCTTCTATTTTCAATATAAAATATATAGGTGAGATATTACTGCCAATTTTAATTTTAAGTTGAAAATGATAAAAAAAATATGGTAAATTCTAAAACTAGTGCTGGGAAGTTTGGTTTTGTTTCTCTAACATTTTGTTGTTTTTACTTTCCAGTAAAATGCAGAGAGTATTAGATCTATAATTCTTGACTTGTATGAGTTTCTTAAATATATGGAAAGGGAATTATCAAATCAAGTGAAACACCCAAACAGAAAAATAAATGTATTAAATTTAGAAGTAGAGTTTAACCATTTAATTTGCAAGAGATAGACATTAAATAAATATGATTTTTCAAAAATGTCTATATTCATAAAAAGAAACCCCTTCTTAAAAAACATTAAATTGAAGCTAAATTAAGGAAGAAATAAGGATAATAATTTAGAGCACCATAGTCAACCATGAAAAAGCTATTGTGCACAGTTCAATTGTGTTCAAAGACAACATGCTAGAAATAAAAATATCACATTAAAATTTTAGAGATAGATTTATGGATTACATATGAACATGGACACAACCATAGAAACAACATGAAAGACAAGCATGGAATATTCTAAGACATTTATTTTCTTGGATATTTATGTGGACATTTGTTAAATACTTGGATTTTTTGACATTTTTAAATAGAAAATGTTTTATTTTGTTTTTAACAACTCGGATGATTTGATCCTTTTGGTTAGATTGCCAAGAGAGTGCTGACTTGCAAAAGTCATAGACAAATTAAGTGATGACAAAATTATTCCTCTGGAAGGGAGCCAAAAACATCAACATACTTCATGGGCATTAACAAAGTCATTTCTGTTTTAAAATTGGTGGACTTACTCTTATTAGAAAGGAATGTTTTCAAAATGCCATTTGGAAACTGAGATAAATATATAAGAACCATTATAAAAACTATCCAGGAGGTCAGCAATGAGCCATGGTTAGGCTGAGGAGGAGAAGGTAGGAGCAGATGGAAACATAGGCCTTCAAAGGGGGGATTCAGATTATTTGTTACATATTAAATGATATTCAAAGAATGTTACCTCATAAGATCAGAAGGAGATAGGTAAAAGAAATAGGTTGGTACAGCATGTAGCCTCCTGTGGCCTGGAAAACAGCAAGACCACACAATGCATGTAGAACTACCTAAGGAGAGAAGACTGTAAAGATTGATTACATGAAGACAATGGGAAATGGTGAGCACTATCTTGTGGAGTTTACTTTATTTCGTGAGCAGGATCTCACTATGGAACTCAGTACCATTATGTCAACATCTCTTGTGAGCTGGAGCTACAGGTGTACAACAACACAAGGGGATTCGTGGAGATGCCTTTATCTACAGTTAGATGTACTTATTTAGGGGCTGGGAGCTTGGATATTGCCAGCATTTGTGATCTGAAAAAATGCAATGGTATTAATTATTTCTATTATGTTAATACAGATATATCTCTCTTCATGTCCATGGGTGGTAGCAAAGAAAGAATGATTTTCAACAATTTTTTACTCAAACTTTAAGCAAGAAAATTTTCAAATTATACTGCATTATATAAAGAAAGCCCTACCCTTCAAAAATGTGAATCTTAAAATTTTCTTTCTTTTAGTCAGTGAAACACATTTTCTAGTAAGGATCATTCTGTGTTACAGAAATTTCCTGCTGATAGTGTCCATGTGTTTTTTGTAGTCAGTAATCAAGTGAACATTTTAATGAGTAGTGTGTTAATGTGAGAATTATCCCTGAAATAAGTTTTTTGTTTTAATCTGTTAATCCCTTCATTGTCTCTTGACAAAGGTATGGATATTTGATACACATACCAAAACTTCAACTGAGTCTCAAGTCCTGAACTATTAGCTTTTATTGTTCCTAAAGCATCTTTTAGAGTTTTCATCAGAATGATAATTCCAGAATATTCTTGGCATCTTTGGGAAGGGATATATAGACATACTCTGAATCTATTGAATCAAATTCCTGGATTAGAGACCCTGGATGTGCATACATGTAGTGCCAACTATAGCCAGATGTAACATGTTAGAGAAATACCTTTCTAAGACCCCCAAATATTAAGGATAAGAAATAAAACACCTTGACAATCCCTTTTCATCAATCATAAATTTAAAACATAAAATTAAA